AGAAGGCAGGCATGAAAAAGTGGAGAAGATGAGAGGCAGGCTGCTCCAGGAAGGGTTTTTCTCCCTGCTGCTCATTTCAGCTTTGGTTCTTGGGCTCTGGAGAGTAACGTTGCTCAGGAGGAGAGCGCTGCACTGCAGCCCTGATGGCTGCTGGACATCAGCAAGACTTTCCTGGAGCTTCTTCCAGACCTGTGGAGGCCGCAGGCCGCAGGCTGATGTGGGTGCCCCTTTACGCCTGCCAAAGCTGCAGCCAGCACTACTGGGAAGCCTAAGGCCCCGTCTGCTGCTCACCACTTTGCCACAGCAATGTCCCGAGGCAGGTGCAACACCACTATACAGCCACCATCTGCACGGGTCACACGATCAGCCAAGCCTCAGCTGGTTATTGCGGGCACAGCACGCACCCGGGGTTTCCCTCTTGCAGTATTTTCTAATGACCAGTATGTCTAATATCTGCCCCTGCTATCAAAGCTCAGAGAGAAGTTCGCCTCCAAGTCCAGCTGCTGGTGTTAACTAACACAAGGCAAAGTCAACACTTCCACACTGACAGCGAGCGCTCTTCTCCCAAGAAGCTGGCTTATTCCCCTCCACTGTGGCTAACAAAGCTTTTTTTTTTTTTTTTTAAACCAGGCAGCTGAATCATAATCAAGAACAATTTTGTAATTTCCTAAATAATTGCTAGCTGACAGGGGAACAGAGGCAGCAGAGAGTGAACAATGGCAGGCGAGCACTGCAGAAGAGGCTCAGGGAAGGAAGGCGCTGCCTGCCCGGAGATACCACTCAACCCCATGCTGCGCGCTGCAGCCTGCTGGAACAGCACAGGCAAGCTGTGCCAAGGACCAGCAAGCAGGTGTACAGAGACGTGTCATGCAGGCTGTGACACAACCCTTTCTGAACAGCCATCTGCAAGGAAAGGGCATAGAGGTCTAGGTACGCTGCTGGGGGTGGTGGGGACCTGGCGCAGGCTGTAGAGCTCTTAAACAGAGCAGCAACATTGGTGAACAGGGCCCATGGGTGGGGAAAGACTCTGCACGATTCCTCTGTGGAGAATCTTCTACCTTGCTATACGTGGTTGGGCTCAAGTCTGCTGGCTGAGCGGACTTGTCTCTTCCTATGAGCTTTGGTTTGCAGACAGCAGCCGGCATTGCGGAGCTGGGAGGTGCACAGCTGGCAGAGAAAGAACGACTTGGAAACATAGTTCCAGCAGCTAAAAACATTCAAAGGACCTCATCAGCATTAACACTTGATGGAAGCAACTGCTGTGGTTGCCCGGTGTGCCGTAGGAACCTCTCTGCTGGCAGATACTGCTTGGGAAGGCAGCAAGTGCTTGTATGAGGACAGGATTGCCATGGCTAGAGTTTCTCACATGCCCGGAAGGACAGCGAGCACAGCACACCATTAGTAGGGACTACGAGTCTCATGCTCACCTGGGAGCAGGCAGGGAACCTTCTTCCAATCACTTACCTTTTCATTTTCATTTCCGCAAGAAGAAAGGCCTTCCATTGTTCTGCCTTGAACAACGAAGAGGCACATCTGTTCTTAAGAGGAACAGATTTAGACAGCAAATCCTTTGGAGCAGGAATTGCCCGCGTAGGATACAGATACTGCAGGTCCCCTAGGACAGGTCTCTCTAGGCTACCTCCATAGTCAATGACAAGGAACAGGCTCCTCCAGACTCTGTAGTCATAACTCAGAGCACTCCCTGTCCCGCTGCCACCCTTCCACTCGTCTCTGACTATCTACCTTTCAGTCTTTGCAGAGTGCGCACCACTGTCCCCTACGGCTATTAAGAAACCGCAGATTCAGGGCAAAGCCCTCATTAGGGTGCTTTGAACTGCTTAATGGGGAAAGACAGGCTCCTCCAAAGTCTGTATGAAGAGCCTTAGTGGAACCGATGCCTAACTTTGTGCCCAAGCCAGATGCCTGAAGTAAACCAGCACAAAGGCTCTTCTGTGGGCCTGTGCAAAGCCTGGTGCAAAGATCCCATAATAATGATAACTGAAGGCACCCCCACCATCTCACTGTTCCTTCTTCTCATGCACAGGCAGCCTGATCCATTACACAGTGCTTTGAATCAAATGTATATTCCTTGATACAGGAGGCGGCTAGATTTGGGGGCCATCAAAAGCACCAATGAGTTTTTATGTGTGTACACACACATACACCTACACACTGCATCAGCCTCCTGTGTATATGTGGAAAGTATGTGTGTCCACACATGCAGTTTTCAGGTCCTAGCTACTCCTGACTAGAGAAAACAATTGCCCCAAATTCCAGTGATGAGATTCCAAACAAGCCAAAGGTTCAAAGTCTTCCAGAGGATTTTTCTGCATTCGCTAGTGGATTTTAGGTTAATTTGTATATCAGCTGCTTCCACATGGTTTAATGTTTGATCCTCTCCTACGACCATGCTGCCATGCCCTAGCACCAGAGCAAAGTGTGGTTCTAAACGTGCTCAAGAGTGGCAGAACTGAGGGGTGGAAGGAATCAACGCTAATTTGCAAAAGCAGCTTTCTGATGCTTACTCAAATTTTGCAAGGTCCCTAGAGCATCCCAGCCACCCATCTGTCCCACCCATTGGTTCAAACTGGGGATGCCGTGAGATGTGCTATAAGGGGCATTTGAGTATCTAGTACCTCCAGTGCAGCCCTATCCATCTCACTCACTGCTCTCTCTCTGCACACACGCATGGGGCTCTGGCCTTGTCCTTGCAGCTTGGAAAGGGGTCCCTTCCTTCGTAGCACTGTTTCTCCTTCTCCACATCCACCCCCTCCCTACGAGGGTCCTGGCTGCATGTCAGCAGAGACCAGCTCCTGGTACAACCCCATGACCTGCTCAGCAAGCAAGAGAGACCAAGGCACCAGACCTTAACCTTGTTGCCCACCGTCTGGCAGTCCCACACCTGGAGGTGGGGGCACAGGCCAGGAGGTCCAGCCAGCCCCTGCCACCCCTCCCTCCCACAGCCAGAGGCTCCCAGCAAGGCTCTAGGCAGCTCAGTGCCAGCAGCAGCAGCAGCCTCTACTGCAAGCACTGCAAAACTGCAGGCAGACTTTCCCTAGTCCCGAACTGCCCTGGGCCAGGGAAGCAATTGCACACGTTGGGAAAGCACCATCTGTTCCTCACCTAAATAAAATGTCCTGCTGCCTGCCATGCAATCAGCAGCTCAAGGACTCGGCAGCACCTCAGAGATGCCCAGGCTTTCCAACATGAGAGGCCTGGCCAGCAAGCTGCCCAAAGCTGGCAGGGCTCTCTCCAAATTTACACTGGCTTTTGCATCCCTTACTGGGGTTCAGCCTGCCCCCTCCATTCCACCCACTGCAAGCTTTGCGGGGACTTGCGTTACCCTTGACTGAGGCATAGAAATTGCTTGTTCATGTTCTCCAGCTGTGTGTGCTGCCTACGCCTGCCAGGAAAGGGCAGCCAGAGGCCACTGCTGAGGACTCTGCTGGCTGCATTTGCCCCAAGGGCATCCCAGCTCCACAAGTCACAGAGCCGAAGCCACTTCCGGCCAGGATGAGGTGAAGCTCCAGCCTGTCAAAGAAATGACAGCTATAAATAAAACATCGGCTGCTGTGAACTCGCTCTGGTCTCTGCACACTGCTCATTCACACAGTTCTACTCTCTTGAGGCCAAGAGGTTTGGCTGTTTATGGCTTCCCCTCCCCAACCCCCCACGAGCTGTGCACTGCTTTGGTTGAGCACAGAAGGCCCTGTGGATCCAGAAGATAAAACAGCTTCTGGAGTGCCCAAGCTAGTGGTGGAGGGGCGTGTTGTAGCCTACCTTTATAAATCACTGCCCTGCCCCTCCTACTCGTTCAGTACCCCTTCTGCATCAGGGAAGCCAGCAAGGACTGCGAGTGCAGGCTTTCCCCGTGCTGGGATTGCCAGAGACACTCCATATTTCCACCCCTGTCTTTGCTCTGGCCTGTGCTGTGTATTTGCTTTGCGGCGGTAGGAGACACCCAATCAATGCATTTCACCCCTGCCAGAGCCGACCACGCAGCCTCAAGCTGTAAATACCCAGACAAGCGTGAAAGAAGAACCAAAGGAAATTAGTTTCTGTTAGTTAAAGGTGACAAATGAAACTGGGATCACCCTCTGGAGTGTTTCCATACTAGGAACAAAGAGGGGCTTTGGGAATACTGTCCTCCATAAGATTATGGATTTTGGAGATTTGTCTTAGAAATACAGATTTCAGAAAGCCTGGAAAACTGTGGAGGTAGTGGGGAAAAGAAGGAGACACTGGTAAATGGATATAGAAGTTAGGGATTTCACCATCATAAGAGATAATTGAGAGGGAATTGCTAACTTCCATCATTCAAAACTGGGTTTGGGGTTCTTCTGTTACCACCTCTTTTCACAAAAGCATCCTTTCAAAGCAGTCTTCAGGCATCAAACCTCAAGTCTCAGCACCCCTAATTTCTTCTGTAAAGGCAACTACATGCTGAAATGTTGTTACAAATATCCAACAAAAGCAGGCATACCAGATTTTCTATTCTTGATGTTTCTAAGATAAAAATAGAACGGACCATGTTAAACAAGCCTAAATCATTCCAGACTACTTCCTCCACCACAAAGACATACAAAAGGGCACAAGCCCCACAAAAACAAAGCAAAACAAAGCAAAACAAACAAACAAAAACCTTTTGCAGATCCTCTTTTCAAATTGTTCTTTCCCTTCAGCTCTGCCCAGAGTCTAACCTACCATTGTGTGACTGAACTACACAAAATGCAAAGTCACCTCCATGGAAGTCACCTTTGGACTCCATTTTCTCATTCAGACACTACAAAAACAAAACAAAGCAAAACAAAACAAAACAGAGTCTTGCATGCACTCCCCGCTCCAAGGTCCTTGCTCTGCTGAGCGACCAGCACATCCCAGGTGAGTGGCAGATTGCAGCAGTCCTGGAGTCTGCTTGTTTCCAACCTCCCAGTGCTGGTGGGAGGCTCTATAGTGACAGCCTGGGGGACAGAAGTCCTCTGTCTGTCTGCCTGCTGAAGGCAGCAAGAAAACAAGCCATGCAAGTTTCCAAGCTGCAGTGCTGCTCCCCATGGGTGCGAATCACTCACCACCCACAGGGTCCCCTCCGAGATGGAGAGGAAGTCCAGCTCTATGGTCTGCTCAGTCTCCTGCCTGGGGTCTGCTCAGTCTCCTGCCTGGGGCAGCTGAAGCCAGGACTGGGAACAGCTGGGTGTCTGTGGGATGCAGGCAGCTGTTTGGAGTGACCGGGACAAAACCACCAGCAATGTTCTCAGACTGCTACTAACCTGTTATCGGACAAACACAATCTGCAGTCACTGCTGACCAAGGCTGGGTCTCAAACAGCAGCCTAGAGAGGCGCAAGATTGCTTTCCTACACCTAGATCCCAGCGCAACACACTTCCCTCAAAGGGATGCATTTCTTCTTTAATGCTTAAAACACAGCGTTTTGGGAGGGGAGGGTGGCACTTGCCTTTGGGGTAGGGTGGTTACAGTCACACAAATGTGGGTTTCAGATCTTCTTTGAAATTCACTATGGGCTGAGACCTGCCGCAATGCTCTGCCCAGTCGCCTGCAAATCCGCCTGGTTCTGTGTCCGTGTCCGTGCTGCTGCTGTCAAGGGAGTCGAGTGGGCCCTGGAAGCAGAGCTCGCAGTAGGGCCGGTGGCAGCAGTGAAACATGTCCTCGGAGCTGCTGCTGGAGTCAGAGTCTGGGTAATAGCATGGTGAGCGCGGGAAAGGCTGTGCTGGCTCTCTCGGAGCATCCCACTCTGGTGGGAGGAGATGCAGGAAGGCCTCACAGGCCTGCTCTTGGCCAGCACCTGGACATACTGCTGAAACTGCGCCACTCGCCTCCTGGATTTGGGGTTCAGGCCAGTCCTGCCGTTCCTCTGGCTGGAGGCAAAGCTCAGTGCTAACAGGTGAAGCAGAGGGCACCAGCTGGTAAAGGAGCCTTCTGCCACCAGTATCACCTCCTTCCTCCAGAGAGACACTCGTTGACTCCTCATGGCTCCAAGCGCTTAGTCCACCACGCATCCTGCTGACTGCCTTGTTCACAACACACCAAGCATGAGGAGACATGGACCCAGGGAAGACAGCAGAAGGGAGAGGCAGAGGGATCCTCCTTCCTCGCCTCGTCAGGTCAGGGCTGAGGGGAGTGCACCTGTCCAGGTAGTTTCCCTGGGCTCTCCGTGCCCCATTCCTCTCGCATGGAGGGCCCTGGCTGCCTCGCAGGGGTGCCTGAGGTGACACCGGGCTGTTGATTTTGCCATCCAGGCTCAGCTCTTGCAAGATTTCCTGCAGCTTTTCACTGCTCACATAGTTGACCCTGGAGGACTGCGCTCTGGTCACCCCACCACTTCCCTGGGGCTCTGCTCCCCTGCCAGCAGCTGAGAGCTCCTGGCCTGGCAGCTGCTGCAAAGGATGCCCGGTCCTCGGGGACATCTTTCGCTCCTGAGCACCTTTGGGGTTGTACTCAAGGATGTCCTTCCCTACATCAAAAAGCAGCATCTGAGAACAAGCCAGTTCCTCAGGCGGCGCGTGCTCGTGGCTCATGTGTTTCTGGAGGTCCTCCATGTCACCACTGCACTCGAGTTTGCTACAAGGCACTGAGTTGCATTGTGCATTCAGTAAGCTGGGAGATTGCCACCCGTTCTGCTCAGGGGGGCAGTGCTCCAGAGGCACCCCGTTGCCTGCCGCGGCACTGCTGCACCACTCACCACGCTCCCCTGCACTCTGGGACCAGGAGGGGAAGGCAGCACACGGAGCTGCCCCGGCCAAGGGACCGCAGCCATACTCTGCGGCCATCAGCCTCATCAGCTTCTCTTTGGCGTTGTTCACCTGCTCCTGGAGGCTTTCGATCACGGCGTTTTTCTGCATCAAATAAATAAATTTTATGTCAAGCCTGGCATGGGTGGAGAGTACAGACATGCTGAGGATTCAGAAGCAAATAGGTCAGAAAATTGAATCAGTCTTCTCCACAGGGAGAAGGAGCTGGGCAGTGGGGCGGCCCGGCGGGGGGGGACGTGGCCGTGATGGGGGGCTGG